CAACATGTATAAATACATCAGTGGTTCATATAGTGAACTGGGTGTAGAGTTATTCACCCTGAGGTCATCAATAGAGGACAAGGGGGCACTATTTACGTCTGGAGGAAAAGAAATGTAATCTCCAAATACGGAAAGATTTCTTCACAGTGAGAGCTGGTGAAAAATGTGGAATAGACTCCCTCAAGAGTTGGTTCTGGCCAGCTCAGTGGATTGCTTTAAAAAAGGCCTGGATTCTTTCCTAGATACACAGAATATAACTGGATACTAACATTTATAGGTAAAGTTGATCCAGGGAATATCCAATTGCCTCTCGGGGGATCAGAAAGGAATTGTTTTCCCTGCAGGAGCAAATTGGATCATGCTTTGCTGGGTTTTTTTGCCTTCCTCTGGATCAACAGTGGGTATAGTATTATAACTTTTTTTTTTAATGGTTGAACTGGATGGACTTTTGTCTTTTTTTTTCAGCCAGACTAACTATGTAACTGTTTTCTGGGTGGCTCTCTCCCTCACTTCATACATCAGTGGCAGTTTGCCGCATAGCTCAGTGGCACATGCAGATGAAAAGAAAGAGGTACTCCATAATGCAGTAACTCATGACGGTTTTTGTTTAACTGAAATAAAGGTAAATACTCACAATGGTAAAATTTAAGCAGATTTCAGAAAACTGCCGCTCCACTGAGCAGACATGATGACGTTTCCACTAAGCTCCACCCTACGTGTTTCATCTTCAGGCCTTCTATATACTCTTTTGAAGTTGTCACTCAGCATGAAACATGGGTTGTTTTGAATATTTGATGTTTATGCACATGGAGTGGATTTACAGTTATTATTACAAAACAGTAGAATGGTTCAGGTCTACATGACAGCAAGTCACAGCACCCACCCAACCCAAATTTAGTGTAACTGGGCTCCTGAGTGAAGGTGCACAGTCTGCAGAAATGGCAGGTCTCCATCTCCCTGGTGTTAGTTTAGACTCAGCAAAGGTGTATGACCACACTCAGGTAATTAATAACACGCTCAGGCATTTGCCTCACTCTCAGCGCTGGTGGTTGAGCAGCATTCACGGTGTGACAATATGTCTTTCTTCACACCCTGTGCAGTGCCCCTGTTGTTGCTTCTGGTTGCCATTTTCCTACTGAAGAGGCTATGGTATTATATACAGTAATTTCAAGTATCTATATAGGCCATATTCGTTTTTGGTTAAAGCCCAACTGAATATTAATTTGTAAAATCAGATAAATACATTTCAGGTGCAAATAAAAAGGTTTGCAAAGTCTTGCAAATTGTTTTGTTTAGAAAGCAGCCACACAATCAGTAGAAAAGTCTGTCACCTGTCAGCATGCTGCAGAGAAGGACCCATGTTCTCTGGGTGGAAGCAGTGGTCTCTCTACAGGGTCTAACACCCTTCCCTGCTGAGACAAACCTACAACAGCAGTGAACATGAGCTTAACGTATAACTAAAGGCAAAACTTTTTTTTTTTCTTTTAGTTTTGGATAGAGTAGAGAGGGATTAGAACACCTGTCAGATTTTTATTGATGCATGTGCTCCTTTTAGAGATATTCACCCTTTCTATTTGTCCTGTTCACTGTTATCACCAAAAAGTGAAAGTAAAAGAAAATCCCAAGTTTTGGGTTGTCCCCAGAACAGTAATAGAGGGGACATCTTCCAATAAAGACACTCTTTTCTGGTAACAACCAGGGATTCCCTCACTTTGGAAGGATTTCTTCTCACATTCTATTTTGGCCATGGGCAGGAAGTGAAGGAAAATCTCCCCAATGGACAGAGATGAAAAAAAAACCCTGACGGGGTTATAACCCTCCCTTTACTCTATCCAAAAAAAGAAAAAAAGTTTTTCCTTTAGTTCCACTTTAACTGATTGGTCTAATTTAGTTGGGGGATGTCAGACCTCTGCAGAGAGTCCACTGTATCCACACAGAGCAAGAGTCCTTTTTTGAAGCATGTTGGCAATTCTGCCTGGCAGTACTAGGGTCGTTGGTTCGAATCCCAGCCATGGCACCTCCTGCCTGGAGTTTGCATGTTCTCCTGTGCCTGCTTGAGTTTCCTCCGGGTACTCCAGTTTTTTCCCAGACTCCAAAGACATGCTGGTAGGTTAATTGGATCCTGTCTAAATTGGCCCTAGTATGTGTATGTATGAATGTGAGTTAGGAACCTTAGATTGAACACCCCTTGAGGGTTAGGGACTGATGTGAATGTACAATATATATGTAAAGCGCTGCGTAAATTGATGGTGCTATATAAGTACCTGAAATAAATAAATGTTGGCAACTTTCTAACATAAAAGAAATGTAGGACCTTGCACATCGTATGTTCTGCTGCATCAGGAACGTTTTTAGATTATATTTAAACAGAAGGTTCAGTTGGGCTGTAAGCACATTGTGTAAAATATGGCAAGGCTGGGAATATCAGGGATGGAAGGTAACTACTTTTCCTAAAGTACAACCTAAAGGGTACTGCAGGTGCTTGTTTTTCATATAAAGGAAAAATATGGGTCTTCTACATGACATTTTACAAGAACATTTCTATTTTGAGGCCTGCTGTTAAATAATCTACAGTGTATTTCGCTGACAAATTGTAACAGCACAGCTAGAAGCTGCCATTCTCGGAGTCTGGTGAATGGGAGGAGTCGGAACTTGTAACAATGTAACAGATAAATGATGGCGGGAAATGGCTGTGGCTTTTCACAGGTTGGAAGTAATCTTGCGGCATCCTGCCCCAATTTCCTTCTCAGCCAGGATTAAATAATACATGACAATACAATGGAACGTCACAGAGTGCTCCGAGATAAGGTAGAGGGCGAGCCACGAGTTTCTGCTTTATGTCAAGACTTCAATGGGAATTATTTACAGCAAGGGTGACATTAAAGCGGTAATAAACCCAAAAATAAATATGTAATTATTGCAGTTTACCAATCTTTAGATAAGTTATTAGATATTATTTTTCCTTTTGTAAACTTTGTTTCCCCCTTAATTTCACCTGGATAATGAATGAATAAAAGATGATCATTGTAAGCACCCCTGTCAGTTGTAAATGGTTTGTCCTCATCCCTCTAATTGTCACTTTGTCTGGACAGCCTGGTCTGTTATACTAAGTTGAAAAATAACAGACGTATTGGCTGAATCACCTGGTGAAAATAAAGAAAAAAAGCCTTGAAAACAAAACGAATGCAACCACCACATCTATGAGCTGGTGAGCTGCAATTTAATACATTTTTGTTTTTGGGTTTAATACTACTTTAACCCCTCATAGTCACCATGTAATCATTAGGATGTCTGGAATGTTGCCTGCTTCCCCCAAAATTGATTTTTAAAGTGTTACTAAACCCACAAAAGTAAAATCAGTCTGTATATGCCATAAAGCATGCTTGTTATACTCACTGTGGAACCTAAGGGGTTAATCCTCGGCATTGTGTAAAAAGGCTGTTTGATCCTTTCTTCTCTGTTCCTCCCTTTTTCAAGTGACCACCTCTTATCTCCACCTGAACCGTAGGCATGCACATGCTCAGTTTGGTGTATTGCTAGAGGTTTTTTTTTTAACTTGGGAGAGTGCATGTCATCAGCACAGGGTCAATCAGCACTGTCCAGACAGAGGTCAGGGGATTTGCATCCTCCAAGAGCAGAAAGAAAACTCCTCCTACAAGCTTTAGCTAGTGGTGGGCTGGACACTGATAGAAGCCACAAGACTGACTAATTTCTGATGAGAAAAGGTATTTAGCAGTTTATATTTACTAAAATAATTGCACTTCCATGTTGTGTGTACTGTGGGAGACCAGATATAGTGAATGCAGGGTCCGGGGTTTAGTAACACTTTAATTTTACAATGGTTACTGAAACCTAAATGCCGTACTGCCTTCTCATTTCCTTTAGTGACTGCAGGAGTGAGATCTCCGCACCAGACTTCCAGTTCTACCTAGCTGTCGGCACGGAGCCTAATGATGGTATCAGCCTCATTCACCCTTTCCCACACACACAGATGGACTCTTCATAATGTGAAGTCCATTTTTAAAGTAGAACTATAGGCAAAACCCTTTTTTTTCATTTTGGATAGGGTAATGGAGGGTTATAACCTCTGTCAGTTTATTTTTGCCATCTGTGTCCATTGGGGAGATTAACTTTCACTTCCTGTCCCATAGCAATACCAGAAGTAAGAAATAATCCCCAACAATTAACAGAATTCCTTGGGGACCCCCCATTGGAAGATTTCCCCTCTATTACTTTTCTGGGGACAACCCAAAATTTGGGGTTTTCTTTACTTTCACTTTTGATGAAAAAATGGTAAACAGGTCAAATAGTGAGGGGGAATCTCCCTAATAGGGGCAAAGACAGAAATACAGGTATTCTAATCCATCTCCACTGTGTCTAAAACCAAACAAAACTTAGTGACACCCTTAATATGGGCTTGTGGGAGGGGCAGAGGCACAAGCTATTACTGAGAAATATCAGAGACTCAAAACACTGCTGGGAAAATCTCACCATTGTGGGGGAAAAAGGGACACAAACTACCTGCAGGAAATCTCATCACTGTGGGGGGGCAGAGACACAAACTACTACAGGAAAATATCATCAATGTGGGAGGGGCAGAGAAAGAAACTACCTGCAGGAAATCTCACCATTGTGGGAGGGGCAGAGAAAGAAACTACCTGCAGGAAATCTCACCATTGTGGGAGGGGCAGAGAAAGAAACTACCTGCAGGAAATCTCACCATTGTGGGAGGGGCAGAGAAAGAAACTACCTGCAGGAAATCTCACCATTGTGGGAGGGGCAGAGAAACAAACTACTGCGGGAAATCTCACCATTGTGGGAGGGGCAGAGACGCAAACTAATGCGGGAAATCTCACCATTGTGGGAGGGGGCAGAGACGCAAACTAATGCGGGAAATCTCACCATTGTGGGAGGGGCAGAGACGCAAACTAATGTGGGAAATCTCACCATTGTGGGAGGGGCAGAGACGCAAACTACTGCGGGAAATCTCACTATTGTGGGAGGGGCAGAGACACAAACTACTGCGGGAAATCTCACCATTGTGGGAGGGGCAGAGACACAAACTACTGCGGGAAATCTCACTATTGTGGGAGGGGCAGAGAAAGAAACTACTGCGGGAAATCTCACCCTGGTGGGAGGGGCAGAGACACAAACTACTGCGGGAAATCTCACCATTGTGGGAGGGGCAGAGAAAGAAACTACTGCAGGAAATCTCACCATTGTGGGAGGGGAAGAGACACAAACTACTGTGGGAAATCTCACCATTGTGGGAGGGGCAGAAACACAAACTACTGCAGGAAATCTCACCATTGTGGGAGGTGCAGAAACACAAACTACTGCAGGAAATCTCACCATTGTGGGAGGGGCAGAGACACAAACTACTGCGGGAAATCTTACCATTGTGGGAGGTGCAGAAACACAAACTACTGCAGGAAATCTCACCATTGTGGGAAGGGCACACACAAACTACTTCAGGAAATGTCACCATTGTGGGAGGGGCAGAGAAACAAAATACTGCAGGAAATCTCACCATTGTGGGAGGGGCAGAGACACAAACTACTACAGGAAATCTCACCATTGTGGGAGGGGCAGAGGCACAAACTACTGCAGGAAATCTCACCATTGTGGGAGGGGCAGAGGCACAAACTACTACAGGAAATGTCACCATTGTGGGAGGGGCAGAGACACAAAAATACTGCAGGAAAATCTCATAAGTCTTGGAGGGCAGAGACACAAAATATTTTAGTGAAAGGAAAGAGACACATGCAATTGCAAGGACATCTCACCATTGTGTAAAGGGGTGAAGGGGTGGAGGAAGCTATATACTATAGGAAAATCTGCACATTGGCCATTTTTTACCAGTTCTTAGTTTTTAACCACTTGCCGACCGCAGATAGCCGAATGACGCCTTCATCACGGCCGGCCAGTTCTGGGAGGACACGCTCCCGGCGGTCTCCGTAATTGCTGTGTCCTATGGACAAAGCTGATCACGTGATGTTGTAAAAGGCCAATCACAGCGGCCTTTTATCACGTGATCAGCCGTGTCCAGTGACACAGCAGATCACCGGTAAATGCCGATCAGTCCTCTGACAATTGCCAGTTATCGGCTTACTGTCACACCATGAGGAAAGTGGAGACAATAACCGGGTATTGTCAGAGGACTGATCGGCACCCATCATCAGGGCACTGATGATCAGTGCCCAGCAGTGCCGCCCACCTGTGCCCAGCAGTGCCACCCACAAGTGCCCAGCAGTGTCACCCACCTGATCCCAGCAGTGCCACCCACCTGTACCCAGCAGTGCCGCCAGTCAGTGCCGCCCATCAGTGCCGCCTATCAGTGCACATCATTGTTGCATATCAGTGCCAACTCATCAGTGCCAGCTCATCAGTGCCAGCTATCAGTGCCTATCAGTGCTGCCTATCAGTGCAGCCTCATCAACGCACATCATTGAAGAAGAGAAATTACCTCTTTGCAAAATTTTATAATAGAAACGAAGAAAAACTTTTTTTTTTTTGCTCTTTTTTTGTTTATAGCGCAAAAAATAAAACACCCAGCAGTGAGCACCAAAAGAAAACTCTAGTTGTGTGAAAAAATTATAAAAATTGCATATGGGTGCAGTGTTGCATGACTGCACAATTGTCATTCATAGTGCAACAGCACTTAAAGCTGTAAATTGGCCTGGGCACGAAGGTATAAGTGCCCGGTAAGCAAGTGGTTAAACAAGACTCAGCTTTTCCAGGAGACCCAATTCTTTTTTCAAGGTGATAAATGCATTTGCCGTTTCCTATTTTCTTTTCAACTGCACAGTGAATAATACCTTGGCCATAACAAAAATGTCTTGTTAAATGTCTAAAATTTCATCTTACAAAAGATAAAGAAACATTGTTATAAACACACAGGCCATTCACTTAACCCTTTCCAAGCGTCTGACATTTGTAAATGTCACATAAAGTCAGTGACAGCCCGGGGTCTGGGGGTTGGCGGCCAAGAGACAATTCATTCAAGCTGTCTTTACGCAGTCACTTTGTACTCCACTCCGCTGCTGCCGGCTTCTTATGCAAACAAGCGCAATTCCCCTTAACGGACAGAAGAACTAATTAAGTCTAAGCGGTCAGTACTAAGTGATGACCCCAGAAGTTTATAGGTCAAATGTGCACATTTTTTTAAAGCAATACAGAAATTTGATATCTGCAACTGCTAGCTGGTATACGTGTTAAACAGCAACTAAACATATAAAATATATGTATTTACAGCTTTCCAGTATAAAATGTGTCATCAATAAACCTTGGCAATATATAAAGGGATTAGACAAAAAAATGGAAACACTACATGATTTGCAGGTGTGAAAGTGATGACATGTTTTGCGTTAAAAATGGAAGTGATGTAACATTCTTTTACTTCCGCTGTGTGATGAGACACCTAGCTAACAGGTGGGAAGCCTCACTTTCATCATTCACTGCGTGTGCTGCTAGTAATACGGAGTCATGTCAGAGCTTACTGAGCTTCAAAGAGGGCAAATTGTTGGTGTGCGTAGCTGGTGCCTCTGACTGAAGTTGCCAATGTACAGTTGCAAGAAAAAGTATGTGAACCCATTGGGATTACGTGGAGTTTTGCATGAATTGGGCATAAAATGTGCTCTGAACGTCATCTAAGTCACAACAATAGAAGAACACAGTCTGCTGAACATAATACTACACAAACATTAGATGTTGCCATGGTTTATTTGCACATAACATGTAAACATTCACAGTGCAGGGAGGAAAAAGTATGTGAACCTTTGGACTTAATAACTGGTTGACCCTCTTTTGGCAGAAATAACCTCAACCAAACGTTTCCTGTAGTTGCAGATCAGACCTGCACAACATTCTGGAGTAATTTTGGACCACTCCTCTTCACAAAACTGTTTCAGTGTAGCAATATTCTTGGGATGTCTGGTGTGAATCGCTCTTTTAAGGTCATGCCACAGCATTTCAATCGGGTTGAGGTCAGGACTCTGACTAGGCCACTCCAGAAGGCGTATTCTGTGCTGTTGCAGCCATTGTTTAGCCTCAGAGGTTATGACGGTATATACAGTTTCCGGGAAAAAACGTCGTCTGATAAGCATAAGTGCAGTCGCCATGGTCCACTGACTGAAAGAGACAAAATGACATTGCGCAGAATTCCTACCTAGAATAAGAAAACAACTGCTGCCAAAGTGAGTGCAGAGCTCAATCTCAGTCTTCACGGGAAACCTTACCATGTAGTAGCACAATTTGGTCATGCTTACCATTTGGCGTGCCACAATTAGCCCCGCCCATTCTCACACCCGATACAGCTGTTCCAATCATGGTTATGGTGCCCCAGATTTTAACATCTTGGCGCTGGCCGAACTCAAATTTGCGGCCTCCCACCATCTGGGCCTAGACGCCGAACATTTGCGCTCTATAAAAAAACCATATGTGCTGAGAGCACGCACCCTGCGCGCTCCCAGCACACATGTCCAGTACTCACGAAAAGGTCCCGATCTCCTCTTTCGATCGGGACCTCTCCGTGAGTACTGGACATCTGTCACGGCGGTCACATGACCCTAAACCCCACCCTGCCTCCCGGCTTCTGAGACCCTTAAAGGGCCAGGAGGTGTCGGCGCAAAGGGGTTAAGCAGTATTAAACCCAAAAGCAAACATTTATTATATTTCAGTTTACCAATTCTTAGATGTAATTGGTGCATTAGTTTCCATTTTTAGGCTTTCTTTCTTCTATTTTCATCTGGTGAAATCAACTTACATGGATGAGACCATCCATTTACCACTTGCAAGGGTGATAAAAAAAAGATCAGCATTTGTGTATTCAAAACTGATTACAAAGTGTAAGCTGGGGTTTGGCTTCAATTTGTTATTTGTATTCAAATCTGCTAATACATTTAACACTCCCTCTTCCCCCCCCCCCCCCCCAGACTAACAATGCTGCTTTCTGCTGTATCATGTGCTCATTCCTCCAAAGTGGTGTCTCACCAATACAGGCGGTGTGTTTCAGGCCAGAATACCAGGTGAAAATAGAGGGAATAAAGCCAAAGAAAAAAAAAACTGATGCAACCACCACATCTAATGATTTTCTGCAACATAATACAGTTTTGGGTTTGGGATTAATACCGCTTTAATTTTGGTCACCTTACTTAAGTTGGATTTCAGTTTGATTATGAACAGCCTACAGAACCTGTAAAAAGTGCTGTTATTTCAGTGTTTCTGAATTTTGCTACTAAGGATGCTAAGCCATTCACATCAGACTGCACCAGAGGGGCTTACACTCTAATGTCCCAACACAGTCACACATTATTGCTATTATACATTTATAAAGCTCTGACATATTCTACAGTGCTGTATTGAGAACGCTGAGCCATTCACATCAAACTCTGCACAAGAGGAGCTTACACTCTAATGTCTGCACAACAGTCACACACTACTATTATTATACATTTATATAGCACTGACATATGCTACAGTGGTGTACAGAGAACACTGAGCCAGTCACATCGGTCTATAAGCCAGAGATGTATACACTCTCCCCACCACAGACACACTATTTTTATTACAGTGCTCAGCATAAATGAGTACACCCTTTTGAAAAGTAAGATTTTAATCAATATCTCAATGAACACAAGAACAATTTCCAAAATGTTGACAAAACTGAGTTTTATAGAAAATTTGTGTTGTTCATTACATGAAATTAAGGTTAATAATATAACCTAGATTACAAAATCTTCAGTTTTACTCAAATTAGTTGATGAAAAAATGAATACATCCCAAGACATAAACTACTAAATATATTATTTTTTTTGATCTCCGTGATTTGTAAGGACAGCACTAAGTCTTCTAGACATGGAATAAACAGGTTAGCGACATATTGCAACATCAATCTTTTTCCATTCTTCAAGAACGACCTCTTTTAGAGCCTGGGTGTTGGATGGAGAGTGATGCTCAACTTGTCTCTTCAGAATTCCCCATAGGTGTTCGATTGGGTTCAGATCAGGAGATATACTTGGCCACTGAATCACTTTCACCTCTTCAGAAATGCAACAGTGGCCTTAGATGTGTGTTTTGGATCATTGTTATGTTGGAAGAGTGCACGACGACCAAGGGCATGGAGATATGGTAGCATCTTCTCTTTCAATATAGAGCAGTACATCTGTGAATTCATGATACCATCAATGAAATGCAGCTCCCTGACACCAGCAGCACTCATGCAGCCCCACAGAAGGACAATTTCACCACCATGTTTCACTGTAGGCACCATGCATTTGTCTTTGTATTCATCACCTTTGCAACACCATACAGTTTAGAAGCCATCAGTTCTAATAATATTTATCTGGGTATCATCACTCCAGAGTACAGAGTTTTCTTTTTCAGTATGGGTCCTGGCAAATTCTAGGCCGGCTTTTTTTGTGCATGGACTTTAGGAGAGGCTTTCTTCATGGACGACAACCATGCATGCCATTCCTCTGCAGTGTACGCCATATTGTGTCATGGGAAACAATCACCCCAGTTTGGCTTTCTACTTCTTTAGCTAACCGCGGTGAAATTTGCATGGTGATTTTCTTCAACCCTTCTCATCAGAAGATGCTCCTGACCAG